TCAGAAAAACAGAAGGGGCTGTAATCTATCTGAGGAGGTTGATAAGGAGAAACTTTCCCATTTGTACAGTCTCTTTAAGACACTCAAAGTTGTTTTTCAAAATGATAATAGTTGTGGATGAGAATGCACATTTTAAATATTAAACTTTAAATGTTAGTGGTTTCTGCACATCTGGCCCATTAAACTATTGGATTAAATAGAAAAGAGAAAGAGAGAAAGAGACCAGAGATGGGGAATTTGTAATTTCATCTTTTTGTTACAAAAATTTAAATGTTTTAAAGTTATTATTTTAAATATCATTTGAATCTTTTTTATTAGAAAGATCATCATTCATTGCTTTATTTTCCTTTCTCGTGTCAACTGATTTTGTGTCCCTTTCATTGTTTTGACTAGAAATAATCAAATGTATCAAGAATTAATGAAATAAGAGAGTCAGGAAATCCTGATATTAATTCCTCAAGATACTTATTAATAGCTGCTCTACTCCATTTGTATTGATTTGTTTATTCATTTTAAGTGTGTTCTATTTAACTAATATCTAGTGTTGTGGTAAGCTGTATCAGTTTATTTTCAAATAAACCTAACAATAGAAGAAAGTTTTGCCCAATCTTTATTCAATAGGACTAATTGTACATAACAGACGTTTCCATAGAGAGTTCAGTTCCAACGAATTTTTTCTGCTAACTCAACTGGGATAAGAATAAATGAATGGCCTGTTTGAAAACAATACCCATGAGATCTCAAGAATAGCATACAAATAATATGCAAAGGAAACAGTCCTCATATTTTCTACTACATTCCTCCTAACATTTGGCATGGTGCATCAATGGAAAGACTGTCTAGTATTTTATTCTTCCTTGAAAGTTGGAAAACTTCAAGTACATCCCTTCAGAATCATTTTCATTGAAGGCTTTCTATCAAGTAAGGTATGTAGAAGCTAGCCAGTCTTAAAGTCTGATCTCTGAGAAGGTTAGAATGGATGTAAATCGCAGTGACTGATACACACATGAGTGTTATGTAGGAAGTCATTTCAGCAAGGCTTTGTAAATCTCTTTAGGGATTCTAAAAACAAGTTTTCTTCTTGTAATTATTTTTTTTCATTTCTTTCTCAGTATCTCACTTGAGTGAAACTGAAAAATCGAATTTCAATGAACAGCACAGCTAATAGCTAGTAAACACTTAAATTAACTATGGAAAATTCGCTCCAACATATGAATATATCACATGAATTGCTTCTAATGTGTGATCAATGTTTTATGTATTGACTTCACATAATTCAAAGAGATATTTTAGCATCAGATAAAAATAGCTTTTATTACTTCTTATGATCTTTAATCATATACAAACCTTTTTTAAAATTAGTTTTAGCTCCTATGCATGAACATGCAGCATTTTTCTTTCTATGTCCAGCCTACTTCACTGCATATGGTGTCTTCCATACTCATCCATTTTAATGAAAATGGTAGAATGTTATTCTTTTTCCATGAATAATATTCCATTATAAGGAAGAAATGTCTGTGTATAACAGTATTGCTGCAAATATAAGCTTTGTCAGACTTTGTTATATATTTTTGTCCATTAAATGTTTAAAATGCTATCTATAAGTGAAACGATCACTTTTTCATTTGATTATTATTCACAACCTTTTTTGAGTCTTTTTACTTGTTGGTTTAGGGGATCATTAAGCTTTTGAATATTATGTAAATTTAAAATATGTCAAAAGCCCAAGAAGAAAGAGAGGTAAAGTAAAAGAAAGGACATATCATTATATTCTCTATATATTAATGTCACATTATCATGTTAATTGATTTAAATTGTGTGATAGCCATTGTCATATATTTGCTCTGACTCTGAGAATCTAGACTACTAAAAAGTTTCTTTAAAATTATAGTTACTAAAAGATCACTAGAAAGAAAATGTTTATATATATATATATGTAATATAAAGGAAGTGTCATCTACTAGAATAAAATCCTGTACTTCACTAAAGTGACCATAAAACTTTTATGGATAAATAGATCCCTGTTTAGTGAAATTGGAATGAAAACCGCAAGAAGTGGGAGATCCAAATATCATGGAATCCAATAGGTGAAAGTAATGAAATGTGAGAATGACCTAAAAATTATTAGTGATCTAATGATAGAGTCATACACCTTACATATACTCCAAAGGTAAATCATGTTGGTTAAGCATACCTTCTCTGGTGTCATGAGGTGAAAAATCCAGAAAAAATGAAAGAATTCTTGGGTAATCATCATTTACAAACAAAATGAGACATAATAATGTGAATAAATGGCACAGATTTTGAAGTGTGCACATTTAATAATGTTACTGATCATGTTCAAGCATGATTACTGTCATTAGAGTTAAATATAAGTATGGTAGATACTTATATATGAGATATAAGTATCTCATGAAAAATTGAAAACTGGGTCATGCTATTAAAACTATGAAATGTGACTATAAGAATGAGTAGCAAAAGGACTTTATGGCAAAATTTTTAAAGACCATTTGCTAAATGAAATTATTAGAATGCTTATTTTAAAAGCTAAATTATATGATACAATATATGTTTTATATCACAACCAAAACATATGTAGAATAACCTGAAAAATAATTTAAGCTAAGAAAGTTGATTATGCTTATATAAAATTCTGCATAACATTAAGCTAATATAAAATGTAGAGAGCTATATTTATTCAGGACACAGTCCTAAAGTACAGGTGCTTTCTATGGAACCTTAAAACTATGAACTTATAGTCTTGATATTGATTGTTTTTCTTACTATAGAATAAAAATAACTGGAATAGCATGGCATTGGAATGAAAACTGACATACAAAGAAACAGAACAGAAAAGCAACACTAAATGTTAGCCCAGAAACACAGCCATTTTTTTGACAGTGATGTCAAGAACACAAATTAGAGAGAAAGGATAATAGTAAACTAGACACCAAAAGACAAATACTATGTGTCCCCTTTCATATGTGGAAGCTAAATAAAAGTCACAGGCCAGTGTTATGATCTGCAACCCCACCAGACTGCTGGGTCCAGTCCTAACTGCTCTACCTCCAACCTAGTTTTCTGATATTGCAGCAGAAGATGGCTCAAACATGTGGGTCCCTGCCACCCATGTGGGAGATCCAGCTAGAGATGCTGACTTTTGGATTTGGCCTGGCTCAGACTGAAAATATTTAAAAAGAAGAGAAAAGCAAAAAGGGAAGGAAAGGGAACAGGAAGAGAAAGAAAGAGGCAGGGAAGAGAGGGTGAAAAGGGAAAGTAAAGATTGGGAAAGACAAAAAAAATCAGAATGATTTTTACTACAGAATGATGTTTACTAAAGACTGGGAGGAGTACAAAGGTTAGAGGCAATCTGGGTGATGGGTAAGCAAATCATAGTTAGAAGGAATATAATCTCAGTGTTACAACATTCTGGTGAGAATATAGTTCACAATAACAGAGCATATATTTTATGAACATACACAAGAAAGAAACCCCACTCTTCTAATCACTAGGTAATATCAAAAAAGTAAAAATATCAAGTGTTCTAATGTATAGAAATATCAGAATGTACCATGTAAATTTGTATAATCACTTTTAATTTCAAAACAGGACAGCACTAAAAGCTTCAATCACTGTAAAAAAATTGGGGCTTTGGCACACAGGGCACATTAGAAATTAATTACAATCATTACTGTTTTATTATGGATATTGCACTCTGTACCTAAAATAATATAACCAAAGGGCAACATTACGGCTGTACTCTGAGAAACTGTGTGATATCTCACAAGATGGCATTGAAAATTTTATAAAATAGATCATATAGAACAGGGCTCTTTAGGACTAACAATGAAATATGATACAATTAGACCACATATCAATGGTAGGGTAATTCAGTATTTTATGATTGTGATACCATCATAACTTTCCAACAGAAATCTGTCACCTTACACAGTGGATTTCATAAAATGCACTTAATCACAAAAGTTAAGAGTAATCTAAACAAAGTCTTCCAGTTTCCTAGTTTGCCTTTGTTGAACTACAGCTTCAGATCATGCATTTGACTTAGTGGTTTTTAGCATTTTTAAAGAACCGAAGAAATATGATCTAGCATGTAAAATAAATTTTGAACTTGATTAAAGCTCTGGGCTTGATTCAAGATATTTATCCCTCAGCACCTTAAAATGTCTACAAAATAAATAACTAGATGAAAATTTTGCATGGAGTATCAAATGCCCAAAGTTTGAAGCAAGAAAAAGGTACACACAAGCTCTAATTTGAGAGCATGGGTAAACCTATGTCTTTGAGACTTCACTTTCTCAGTTTTTACATGAGATAATGGTCATTACAATGTTTTATAGTCTTACTCAATGACAAAAAGCTGACATAGACTTTTTTCAAATCCCAAGTCTTCTCACATCCTCTGGAGATGTGATTGTATTCACTGACAACTTAGGGTTAACAAATGTTGGGTTGCTAATCATGCTTGTTGCACGTTTTCTGCTCCCTTGCCCTCAGTCCATCTGTCCCATCTTCACATTTCAGCCAAGCCTCATTTCAGGAATTCACCTACAAGCTCTCTATTTCCAGATCTAGAAGCCACATCATCTTTGTCAGACACTTAGAAACCAGAAGATCCCATAGAATCAGCTGGATTTTATGCCAAAAAAAAAACTTGAAGTAATTAATTTGGATATTCCAAAATACAAAATTCTTCTTTCACTCAATCCTGGTCAGATCTCATGGAAATAGATACCTACATCCTTGCTATTAAGTGGAGGAAATTCAACTTCAGAAGGGTTAACGTATTTGTTGAAGACAGCCACATTTAGTGCAGAGTATCTTGAAGCAAGATTGAGTCATCAGGTGCCAGATTGTTTATTTCTGTCATATTACTGTGGAACATCTTCCAATCATAAATAATCAATTTGTGATTATGTTTTATCATTCCTTAAAACTTTTACTGTTCTTCTGATTCCTTATGCTAGGTGAAACTGAAGATCATGGTACTGACTAATGAGAGTTACCCTGGAGAGTTCATTCTACTCGGCTTTGCTGACCGACCTTGGCTCCAGCTTCCACTATTCATCATTCTTCTCATCACATACCCCACGGCCTTGGTGGGAAACATCGCCATCATCCTGGTGTCCAGGCTAGACCCCCGGCTCCACAGCCCCATGTATTTCTTCCTCACCAATCTCTCCTTCTTGGACATGTGTTACACCACCAGCTTTGTCCCTCAGATGCTGTTCAACCTGGGAACCTCTAAGAAGACAATCAGCTACGTGGGCTGTGCGATTCAGCTTTATTTATTTCACACCATGGGAGGCACAGAGTGTCTGCTCTTGGCTCTTATGTCCTTTGATCGCTATGTGGCCATCTGTAGACCTCTGCACTACACCCTCATCATGAATCGGCACATCTGCATCTTGTTAGCATCCATTGTGTGGCTGACTGGAATTATATTTGCTCTCTCAGAAGCCACTCTCACACTACAATTACCAATGTGTGGTGTCAATATACTGGATCACTTGCTGTGTGAGATCCCAGTTCTGATCAAGACAGCCTGTGGTGACAAGAGGGCAAATGAGTTGATACTCTCTGTCGTGTGCATTTTTATATTAGCTGTTCCCCTTTGTTTAATTCTTGCTTCCTATATCAGTATTGGACGTGCTGTATTTAAGATTAAATCTTCTGAGGGAAGGAAAAAGGCCTTTGGGACATGTTCCTCTCATCTCATTGTCGTTCTCTTGTTTTATGGTCCAGCAATAAGCATGTACCTTCAGCCCCCTTCTTCCTTCTCAAAGGACCAGCCCAAGTTCATGGCTCTCTTCTATGGAGTGATAACTCCCACACTCAACCCTTTTATCTATACTCTGAGGAATAAGGATGTAAAGGGGGCATTAGGCAAACTAGTGAGTAGAATGTTTGGTTTTAAGTAAATGGATATCAGTTAAGGAATAAAATAGATTTATGTGGATTTTTCTGAGAATTTGTTCTTGTCTCATCGTGTTCTTTTTGCCAAATATTACATGTTTCTGATGGTTCTGTAGTGTTAGGTAAGAATGATAGTTCAACTAACATTCACCATCATGGTCATTCTGCTTGCAGGGATATGTTAAAATAACTACTTTGAATTATTAAAAGCTAAAATAGTAACTGTAGTAAGTAGTAAAAATCAGTAATATGAATTATACTATAAGCTCAATATTTTCGGCTTATCCATTATAATTAGCATCCACAGGTACCCTGTCAGTGTCACCTAAGACACATAAAATCACTCTTGTGGTTTGGCTCCATGTTTAGGTGGCGGCATTCATGGTGCATTCAATGTGAGGTACTCTCTGTTGTAGAAGAATCACCGGTTTGCCACCTTCAGTTTTTGTAGATATGAGTACCTCTTCAAATTTCAAGACTGTGGGAAGCAGCGAGGTTGGGTGGAGAGGGAAAAGAGGCAAGTTGTGTTCTTTTCTTGGAGAGGTACCTAGGAAATGTACGAAATCTGTTATCTTTATATTAAAAAAGTGAATTTTAAATTTTATAAAGACAATGCGAAAATCAAAAGTATAAAAGCAAAAAACTCCATAGTTTTGAAAAAGTTGGTTCTGAATTTTTTTCTTTGCTTTTACAATGAAAGGAATCTTCTTTCTTTAGGCTACTGATACAAAATCGGTTCTTGTTCTATTTTCACTTGACTTGAAAAGAATCGACTTGTTTCTTGAACATGTTCTCACGCACTCCAAGATATATATTTCTCTTCTCCAATTTCAAAAAGTATTATTAATATATTAGGATGAATTGTTTTTTAAAAAACTAAGTCTTCAGGGGCCCAGCGCGGTGGCGCAAGTGGTTAAAGGTCCTCGCCTTGCACGCCCAGGATCCCATATGGGCGCCGGTTCTAATCCCGGCAGCCCTGCTTCCCTTCCAGCTCCCTACCTACGGCCTGGGAAAGCAGTCGAGGACGGCCCAAAGCTTTGGGACCCTGCACCCGCATGGGAGACCCGGAAGAGGCTCCTGGCTTCGGATTGACATAGTATCGGCCGTTGCGCTCACTTGGGGAGTGAACCATCGGACACAAGATCTTCCTCTCTGTCTCTCCTCTCTGTATATCCGCCTTTCCAATGAAAAAATAATAAAAATAAATCTTTAAAAAAAAAAAACTAAGTCTTCAAATTGACTTGCATGATTTTTATGTTTTTATCCTTGCCTCAATGTTTTTAGGAAACCACAAAGGAGTGCTTCGATAGGAATTTATGATTACATTTACCTTAGGGATGTGGGGTAGCTACAATAGACTTAAGTGACTGAATATTTTGTAGAGTAGTATTTGAAATCATTGAGTAAAACTGATAGATAATTCCAATATACTTTATTAGATGTTAATTCATTTTTGCATAAACACATACACAAAATGTTCATTTATAAGTGAAACAAGGTATCTGTATCTGTCTGCATTTCAATCAATAAAAACTAAAAATAAAAAATTGCAAGTTTGTAATTATTTAAGAAATATATGAATATATTTTGCATTTAATGTTTAAAATTTATAATGAAATATTTAAAGGAATACAATGAAAAACAAAAGTATAAATGAGTTTTTGAACATTTATTTTAAATATCATAACCATGGGTCTTATAATTAATTTGAAGAAGGAAGGAATTTAGGTCGATAATGAATCATAATCTGGTACCATGTCTGTGCATGCATTAGACCAATCGAGAATGTCTCATGAAATTGTTGAAAAGTCAGTAAAAGAAATGATTTGCATTTCAAGAAAATGTAACTGATATAAGTTGTCTTTTTATTAAGACAAATATGGGTAGAAATGATGTTTAATAACTGTTTCACTAAAAGCTGAAACTTCTGGGGCCAGTGCCATGGCATAGCAAAATAATCCTGTGCCTACAGCACTGGCATCCCATAAAGGCTTTGATTCAGCCTGCCCCAGCTGATCCACTTCCAATCCAGCTCCCTGCTTATGGGCTGGGAAAGCAGTGGAGGACGGCTCAAAATCTTGGCCCCTGAGCCCATGTAGGAGCCCCAGAATAAGCTCCTGATTTCCTGGCTCCAGATCAGCTCAGTTTCATTCATTATACCATTTTGGGAGTGAGCCAGTAGATGAAAGATCTTTCCCTTTCTGTAAATCTGCCTTTCAAATAGAATAAATGAAAACACAATTGAAACTTCCAAAATATAGTTCTGAAATTTAGAATTTGCCCTCAAGACTTAGAGCATTGTCATGAAATTGGTAGAATTTATGAAAGAAATTAATGAAGCTGTGATTATTTGGTATTGAATTAATATATTAAGAATCCTATGCTATGGTTGGTAGCTTTTTAAAAAAAATCAAAAAGTAATCTGGGGTGGGGGGACCTTTCTGGCATGCCTGTGCTGTTATCAAGATCTAAGAAAATTTTTTCAAAGAGAAGTCATGTGTTTTCCTTTACAAGAATCAATTGTAGCTAGATTCACTATCTGAAAAACATCAGATCATCTGGGGCTGCTCCAGTTCTTAAAATCACTGGACATGAGCAAATATAGAAAAAAATGTAGCAATCTAAAACTCATATGCTTGCTAGGTGATTGTAGACTCATTGGCACATAATGTTTTTAAATTTTACACAAGAATACATGAACACATATACACTCAGGAATAAAAAATATTTCGTGATGTTATAATATATTTGATCACTTTTGTCATCTCAGATATCTTTGGTCTAACTTACTCTAACATACAGCAAAAAACAAAGAGTGTCCATTACCCAAATGCCAAATAAGAAGTGTTTCAGGCTTGCTTTTTTGGTAGGATTTTGAAATATTTGTATATATGTAAATATATACAATACCCTAGGGTAAGCCGAAAATTCATTTTTTCTTATTTTTTTCACATCCTAAGAATATACTTCTAACATAATCTTAACCATTTTTTAAAAAAGAGTTTTTATATATTTGGGCTATATCCGATCACACAAAGTATATAGATTTCCTCCTGTGGTTTAACTCTGATGATCAAAATTTAGTAGAATTTCAGATTTTAGATGTTTGTATCAGAGATGCACAATTGATATAGTGATATTTAGACTAAGGAGCAAAACCCAGCAATGTTTGTGTGAGAAGCTTAGCCATAAAGATTGATCATAAATGTCCTGCTGCTTTCTTAATTCATCCTGTCTCCCGCATTCAGCAAGCAACATTCTACCTTCTGTGTCTAAATATTTTTAATTTTATAAGTGGAAATGTTATTCAGACACTGTGGAAAATCACAACCTCCTAAGAATTACAAATAAAAAATTTAGGAAAAAAAATAATTAGCAATGAAGAAAATCCATAGAAATGTTTGATTTCTACCATACTGTTTCAAAATTTCCAGGCATTTATGTTCAGTACATTCCAACATTTCAGCTAATTTTAAAAAATTTTTATTGGAAGGGCAGATTTTACAGAGAGGACAGAGAGAAAAATCCACTGGTTCATGTCCCAAATGGCCGCCACTCTCTGAGCTGATTGAAAGCCAGGAGCTAGGAGCTTCTTCTGGGTCCCACGAGCGTGCAGGTTCCCAAGGCTTCGAGCTATCCCCCACTGCTTTCCCAGGCCATAAGAAAGGAACTGGGTCAGAAGCAGCACAGCCAGTACCTGAACCCGTATGGGATCCCAGAGCTTGCAAAGGGAGGATGTAGCCAGTTCAGCCATTGTGGTAGTAACACTTTGGGTAATATTTAAGCACCTCTGTGGAAGAGAAGACATATTATACTAAGAATAAAATTGTTCTATAACTGATGTAAGTTCTTAGCATTCCCAAGCCTATCAAAGAGGTGTCTCCACTCTCTGCATTTTTGTAGTTTGTATTGATTGTCTGTGCCATAGAGTGGTTTAGATAATAATATATCCTGTTATCTCATCTTATTGTCATGAATTCCACATCACCTTTGATTAATGCAGGCCTGCCTGCTTTGAAAAGTGTATGTACTATATACCTATTTGCATTCAAAGAAAATGAGGCAGAATGTCAAAACATTTTAACTGTTATAATTTTAGAAATCTGTGTATCCATTCAACTATTTTTAAGTTTTTATATTATTGTATTTTAATAATAAAATTAAAAATAAAATTAATATAATCTTGACTTGTATGTTAGAGAATTTTCTAAATGTATTTCTTTCTTTCAACCTTTTAATTGTTTAAATCTTATGGTATCTGTCATTTGTTCTTCCTGGAATGTCTAGTTGCTTGGAAATGATTTTATGATCACCTCCCTGCAATCCGAAGCCAGGAGCCAGGAACTTTTTTCCAGGTCTCCCACATGGGTACAGGATCCCAAGGCTCAGGGCCATCGTCAACTGCTTTCCCAGGCCACAAGCAGGGAGCTGGATGGGAAGCAGAGCAGCCGGGATTAGAACCAGTGCCCATATGGGATCCCAGTGTGTTCAAGGCAAGGACTTTAGCTACTAGGCCACCACACTGGGCCCAGATGCTCGGTTTTAATCTTCTGCATTTGCATCTCCAGTTATCCCAGGAGCTCTTACTTAAGAGATTGTCTATTCTCCACTTTCTGGTTTTAGTGCATCTGTCTAAAAAATTTACTGGCAAGTATGAGAGAAAATATTTCAAGAAAAGCAGTTTCCTGTGGATGTGTGTTCTCATTTTTGGTATTCTGTAGGTTCATGTGTCTGTTTATGCCAATATCATGCTGTTTGGATTACAATAGCTCTGCAATATATGATGAATTCTGATATTGTCAGGTTTAAAAGTTTGTTCTTTTGTAGGTCTTTGTGCTTCCATATAGACTTCAAGATATTTAGATTTTGTTAATTTGAAAAACAGAGTCACACAGAGAGACAAGAGACAGAGACACCTTGTATCTGTTGATTACTCCCCAAATGACTGCAACCACCAGCCCTGGGCAGCCTGAAGCCAGGAGCCCAGAGTTCCTCTCTGTCTCTCCAGGCTGTAGGGGCATGAGCACCTGGAACTTGATCTGCCACCTCTCAGGCTCATTAAGAGGGAATTAATTCAAAGTAGAGCCCCTGAGTCTCAAACAGGCCAAGAAAGACAGAGATGAAATGATGCCAGAGAAATGTAGAGGATCCCAATGACCTGTTATGAGACTTGATGACAAGAAATTTGAAGAGACTGCTATGTGTTAGTTTGGCGGTGCTAGGACACCCTTGAGAAACAGAGAGGCTTTTAATGCAGTCTGCAAGATTTTTGTCTTCATGATTCAGTTTTGGTAAGTATATATCCTGAAATTTACCCACTCATTCTTGTCTTTCCAATTTGTTGGGAGCTGGATCAGAAATGAAACAGTGGAGACACAAACTGGTACCCATATAGGATGCTGGCACTAGCATGCACAAGATTAGCCTGCTAAGTCACTATATCAGCAACTGGGCTTTTGATTTTGATGAAGATGTTTACCGATATAAACTTTCTTGTCTGTGCCAGTTTTACTGTGTCCTGTTCTCATTGGTTTTAATGATTTCTAACTATCTCATTTACATTTTTCTGTGATCTATTTTTTGTTTAGGAGCTTGTTGGTCACTCTCCATGTATTAGTTTTATATCTATAATTTTTTTATTTTTATTTCTAGTTTTATTTCATTATGATCAGAAATATACATAATTTCAATTGTTTTAATTTGCTGAGTCTGGTTTAGTGAAATTATATATTATGCGTTGTAGAGATTGTACTATTTGCCTACAGAAATGAAGTGTATCTTACAACTACTGAATCAAAATATTCAGCAAATGTCTGCTAGGTCCTTCTTATCTATATCACATTTTAACTCTTGTGTCCCCTTTTTCATTTTTAAGATTTATTTTATTTATTTGTAAGAAAGAGCTACAAAGGGAAAGAAAGAGAGTGTCTTTATTCACTGATTCACTCCCCTAAATGGTTGCAAATGTAAGGGTTGAGCCAGGCAGAAGCCACTAGTCAAGAACTTCCTCTGGGTCTCCTGTGTGGATGCAAAAGCCCAAGAGCTTGATCCCTCTCCCACTACTTCTCCAGATCGTTAGCAAGGAGCAGGATGGGAAGTGGAACAGCTGGAACTGGAACTGGCACCCATACGGAATGCAGGCATTGCAGGTGGTAGCTTAATGCTCTGCACCATTCTTAATGCTAGCCCCATTCCATTGTCTCTTTACTTTTCCTTTTCCTGGATGATCTGTATACTGATCAAAGTGGTGGGTAAGTCTTCCACTGACATTGGATTGCAGTTCACATCCCAATTTGATTCTCATAATGGTTCCTTTACAAAACTGGGTGCTCCAGTATTAGGGTGTATCTATACAGACAGATATAGATGTAGAGATAGAGATAGAGACAGAGATAAAAAAAATGATAAAAAATGATAAAAAAAAAAAAAGAATGAATAAGAATAGCGTCTGAGCATACCCTACATGGGGACCTGGGGAGGGTGGGAAATTGGGAGGGCCTTCTCCCTTAATACCCTCCTTTTAAACATGAAGGAAACAATATGGAAAAAAATAGAATAGTGTCTGGTAAAAAGAAGCCAGTTTGTTACTACAGGGACTTAGAGAGAGGAAAAGCAGGTGTTTATTTCTATAAGAGACACCTTACAACATAAAGGTTCAAACTAGGAAAAATCAGCAGGGGATCTTATGAGGAGACAGCAACAGGCAGCAGTAAGTGTGGACTTCCTCTTGGCAAATACTTCTGTCCTGGCTAACTCCAGGCATATTCGTCATCAGTAATGGTGCTACAGAGGCAGGAAGCCAGAACAACTTAGAACCAAGACCTACTACTGAAAAAGATCACACAGAGTCTACTAAAATCTCTGCAAAACCTTAAGGACCTAGTTGGGACTGGAATTTTGAGTGAAAGTCCTGTTTGAGCTTGAAAAAGTACACAACCAAGAAAAAGGGATAAATTGGAAGGCATGAAATAAGTTACTTTTTAATTGACAAAAAATTTATAAATTATAGTATAGAACATGATGTTCTGAAATATATATATATATACATTACAGAAATGCTACAAAAGCTAACTTATGCACTGAATTATGAATTAGCTCATTAGTTTTTAAATGAAATGAGACTTTTTAAAATCTACTCTTCATAATTTTCCAGTATACAATACATAACTATTAACTTTTGTCCCCATGTTATACACCAAATCTCTTGATGTTATTTCTCCTGACTAAATTTTATATTTCATTTATTCCCCCACTTTAACTGTATTCTGTGTTCTCTAGATAATAATTATTACATGTATTAATCTCCATACCATACTCTTCTTAAATCAACGGCATAAGAAAAGGGATTCAGCAACAATTTAACAACGAAATTGAAATTGCTATATAAGTAACATCTTTTCCTCCAACTAATTTATCTTTAAGATGTAAATTTCCAGCATCTGTGGTCTGTTTTTTCTCTATTCTTCGAATTCCATATACTTCTCCCTAATCTCTTCAATGCCCCTTTTACCTCCTTGTTCCTCAGAGTGTATATAAGAGGGTTAAGAGTTGGGGTCACTACAGTGTAGAAAAGGGTGAGAAACTTGTTCTGTTCATGAGCATAACGACTCTTGGGTTGGAGGTAGACACCTGTGACAGTGCCATAGAAAAGAGAAACCACAAGAAGGTGAGAAGTGCAAGTGCCAAACGCTTTCTTCTGCCCGGAAGCTGACTTTATCCTCAGCACAGCCTTAACAATAGCAGCATAAGAGGACAGGATAATGATCAGGGGCACCACCAGCAGAATGCTGCTAGCTACGGACATCTGGATTTCATTGTAGGTGGTGTCTGTACTGGAGAGCTGAATAAGTGCTGGGACTTCACACACAATGTCATCAACCATGTGGTGGGAGCAGAAAGGCAACTGGAGTATAGCAGGGGCCTGAATGAGAGATGGAACCAAGCCAGTCCCCCACGCCAGGAGAGCCAGCTGCAGACAAACTCTTGGGTGCATGATGGTGGTATACTGCAGTGGGCGACACACTGCTACATAGCGGTCCACAGCCATGATGACAAGAAGGACACATTCAGTGCCCCCAAGCCACATGAAGACGTAGAGTTGAATGGCACAGCCTATGTAACTGATAACTTTCTCTGGGCCCCAGAAGTTAGTCAACATTTGTGGAACACAGCTGCCGGTGAAACAGAGCTCCAGCAAAGACAGATTGGAAAGGAAGAAATACATAGGAATGTGGAGTTTTGGATCCGTCAAGAAGACAAGGACTATAACTATGTTGTTTGCAATAGTCAAGCAGTAAAACACCAAAATAATCCAAAAGAGTATCATTTCCAAATATGGCTTGTCAGAGAAGCCCAAGAGAATGAAATTACTGTGGCTGTCATTGCAAATCACAGTCATAGCTTCTGAGACAATTACCTCTTGAGGGAATGGTTCAAAATTAATTAGTTAGAGGCCTGTGATGGTTCCTGTAGAGACAAGAAGAATACACTTGTTTAACTCAAAGTTATGAGATTCTCACTTGCTGTATTTTGGGGATGAAAGATAACATTTAGTAGAAATTTCCCAATGCTTTCATACTTAATTCCTTTAAAAGCATATAATTTCTCCCTGCCTATATTAAAATTTACTCTTAATCTTTGATATCTTTTACTCAATCTTTCTTTTCTTGTTATCATTTTCTCAAACTTTGCATCTATATTTTATATTATACAAAAAATACACTAAGCATTTGTTGGGTAAATTGATACATTGCATCTTTGCTTTCAAAGATTGTAAATTTGTGTTTTATTTCATAGTACTACCCAATGCAAACTATCTCTCTTCTATTCATCTTATCTTTTATTTCTGCATGTCTTTGTATTTCAATGTGTGTTTTTTCTCTCATGCTCACCTCCTCAATCTGTTACCCCTCAACCCTTCTCCCTTTTCTTCTCATCAATCCTTCTCGTTCCCCATATTCTCCATATATTCTTTTCATTTCCTTGATTTCTGAGCTTAATTCTCTCTCAGTGACATTTACACTGTTTGACTGAACAATGACCCTCCTGGCATGAGGGACCAGCTTGGTTCCATCTCTCATCCAGGCCTTCACTATACTCCAGTTACCCTTCTGCTCCAACCACATGGCTGACGACATTGCGATTGTTGATGACGTTGTAACTGTACAATGTACTTAATTCACTCCTCTTACTAAATTTTTCATTTGCAAAAAAAGGGAAAGAACATACTTGTTGGGGAAATGTAAAAATTTAAGAAAACTACTAGAAAGAGTTTCGGGCACACTGTGACTGTTTAATGATTGTTAACATGATTTTTTTTTTTACGATTCCATATAACTTCTTTATTTCAGTGGCCTCACCTCTTATTCCATCTCTGCCTTGCTGCTATATCCTTTTTTCTTCTGCCTTTTTTTTCTAATTACATTGCACTTAGACATTGGATTTTTGGAGAGAATATGATGGATAACAATAGAAAAAATTCCTATTTTTATGCTATCATCTTTGAAAAATAACCTGAGAAGAAATTGTGTACATTTCCCTGCTTTTATAAATTATGCATATTTATATATGCATATGTAATACATATATGTATGTGAATAGGATATATATATATATATCCTACAGGTATGTCTGTATTTATCAACCTAATGAGGAATTTCACTTGGTCATTAACTTGAGCATTTCACATTTCTAATTGTTAGAGAATCCTGATTTGTGTTTAATAACATTCTAAATTCATATGTTAGTATGGCATATTTTTTAAAATGTTAACAAGGTACCATGCCTGTAGGCAACTGCCTAGGTTAGCTTGTATATTTGGAAGTTTTACACTCTTGGGAGAAAAGTAGGCAGTATCTGGCAGGCATTCTGGGCTTGGTTAAAGCCAAATTTGTGTTAACTGTACCAGTGTTCCAGTGAATTGCCTATTTTTCTTCTTCTTCTTCTTTTTAAAATATAAGTGGAGAAGGCAGGTAACTCCTGAACAGGACACCTACACCATGGTACCCACATGCCAAGGGGCTGCAGATTGTCCAGGGAAGGAGTTTGGAGATGTATTGGAATGGAGCACTTGAGGGCATGTTTGACAGGGAAAGAATAACTTCTGGGGTCTTCCATGGGCCAGGCCACTGCACTCACAGGTAGATGAAGGAGATGAGAGGGAGTGGTTTAGAGGAAGTAAATCAGAGCACCTGTTGACATATATGTGAGCCGTATCTGGGGGTGGGTAGGGCAGGGGCAGTCCACAGCACATACTGGCATGAATGAGAGCCAGGACAGGGTGCAAGCCAGGCATGGTGAGGCCAGTTCACATGAGATTAGAGGTGAGCTAGGCTGAGCCAGACTGATATACTTGCTGGGGTGCATGAGAGCCAGAATCTGTGCAGGCCAGCTGGGTTAAGCTGCAACACCAAGTGACCAATACCAGGACGGAGTGTGAGTCATGTCGGGCTAGATGGCAGTACCCACTGGTAGGCACAAAATCTGGGGCTGGAAATAAGCCTGGCAGGGGAATTGTAGACACTCCCCTACTAGGCTGTACCTATTGCTGCTGAGTACAAGAATCAGGACTAGCAGCAGGCCAGATTGGACAAGATGGTGGTACCTGTTGGCATAGATGAGGGTCAGGTCTGGTGGCGGGTCAGGCTGAGCAAAGTCGTAGCACCCACAGGTGTACACAAGAACTAGATGGGATACATGCTGGGCCAGGCTAGACCACAGCAGAGGTTGGTATGTAAAAAAAACTGGGACTCAGGGAAAGCCTAGTGGGGTTTAAGGGGGTCACCCTAACTAGATCCTGTCACCCACTGTCATGCATGAGAACCAGGTCTGTGGTGGGCTAGCTAGGCTCGACAGCAGCAGCTATTGTTTGCATGAGAGATGGGACTATGCATAACTAACCAGGCAGCTGCATGCACCAATACGTGCTTTGGCTAGTGCAAGTGACAGCCTGAGCCTGACCCTGCACTGACTAGCACATACAAGAGTCAACTCTGAGGTCACTGCAGGTGAAAATTCTTGGGAGATCGCAACCAGACATCAGGATTCAGACAAAGAACACAGGAAACATCACAGAATGTATAATCCAACCTTGGAGTACATGTATCAGGACTGGGCCTCCTCAGTTGCTGCTGCCTGTGCAGTGGGCAGCATGCCCAGATACATAGAGGAGAAATGATGGCCAGCTCATTTTGGCCATCAGGGGACAGCAACTGCCTCATTAGAGGATGGAAAGCAGAATAGGCTGGACAACTCCCCTGGCCAAACTTTGGATGCACCAAGATGGATTGTCAACCAGTAGACCTTGGAAAGATTTTCTAAACACGGAAACAGCAAATCCACCAATTTTTCAGAACTATCGAAAATACTCAAGTAACATCCTTGGAAACTCAGTCCAACATCAAGGTCTCTAAAACATCATCAAATGATCATCCCCCATCCCTGAGTGCTGATCTTGTTTGACAGAAAGGAATGGCCCCCTCTTGCACTTCCCCTGGATACATAGGAGAATAAAAAAAAAAAAAAAAAAAAACCCTGAAACATTTGTCCCACCCATCTTACTTCATGCCTGAGACTTCCCACCCTCATCAGAGGTCACTTGGGCATGCATCCCTCTCAACAACATAAAGTATATTTTAAAAAAACAAAGTTTTGAAAATGCTAAAAAGATAATAAAGAGGGACCGGCACAATGTTTCAATTGACTAATCTTTCAGCGTCAAGCTCTGGCATCTGATATGGGGGCCAGTTTGTGTCACAGCTGTGCTACTTCCCATCCAGCTCCTTGCTCGTGGCCTGGGAAAGCAGTAGAGGACAGTTCAAAGCCTTAGAACCCTGCACCCACGTGCGAGACCCAGAGGCAGCTCCTGGATCCTGGCTTCGGATCAGCTCACTTCTGGCCCTTGCAGCCACTTGGGGCATGAACCAGTGGACAGATTGCTTTCCCTTTCTCTCCTTCTGTCTGTAAATCTGCCTTTCCAATAAAAAAAAAAAAAGATCATTTTTTTAAAAAGTAATGATAAAGTTTCCCAGAGAGCCAAATTATCCAATGTTTTATGATTATGATGTTTTCCATTTGAAATATTACTTAAATGCTGACCTATAAAATAACAAATAAAAGAGAAAAAGGATAATTGTGGTATGTAAATTAAGCATATTGAAATTCAGGTTTATAGATTCTAGACTCTGTTATACCATTCATTAGAGAGCTGACTTTGACTTAGAACAATTAGGCCAAATAAACTTCAAATTTTATCAATTCTAATAAGGTAATTATTCTGCCAGCTTTACACGTTGCTCTCAGAAACCCTGAAATTACTAATTCATTACAGGAGTTATTCTTTTATTTACCTTTCTGGTGACTCAAAAAGAAGAGGAAAAGTTTTACACTTATCATGTAACATATTTTTATAATATTAAAAAACATTAGCGTGGTGCCTTTACCTTCCTAATTTTTCTATTCTTCCTTTTTCTAAGCTCTACAGTCTCATTTTCCTGTTTCTTGCTTCCCTATCATTTTTCTTATCAGATAACCCAACAAATCCTGTCAGTTTTCAAAGTTTGCATAGCACGTTGTATAACCCCAAGTATTTCATTTGCAATAAACTTTTGGCCAAAGGGGTTGAACAGAACATCCTGTGGCTTAGAATGGATTTTATAAATCTAGGCCCTTTGGTGAGTATTTCACAGCATCTTCTTCCAATAAATTTAAACTTGAACCCACTTTTTTATTCCAAATCAATGTTTGCTAAAAGCCTTTCAGTTTTGCCAGTACTGAAATAAAACTTTTCCTTCTCTAAAATATTTTCCAGTCTACCAAGTATTAACGTACTAAAATAAATGATCAAAATGCTGATGATGGCATTCCAGATCCCAGTTCCAATATTTTACTTGCAGTCTCTCTCTTTTCTACAAATCATTCCAGAAACCTGGGCTTCCCAGCACGTGCCTACAGTCAATGAACAGAGGACATGTGAGCTGGAGAACCCTAAACGAGGCTGGCAACAACAAACTGCAATGTTATTCAGCTTACTAAATCAATTACTTCATTTAAAGCTTAAACTGTGGTTCACATGTTAAAAAAATTCATTTTCCCACATCTTATTAGTAACTATAGTACATTTCTAATAAACTTTAAATAATACTAAGAATGGCAGAGAAAATGTATAGGGGAAAGTCCAAGTTTAGAAATTAAGCTGAATACAGTAATATCATTTTGAAAGTCCATTGTGTTCAATGAGCCACTTACTAAATCATTCTCTTAAAAAGGTAAAATGACATGGCCTGATATTTACAATCCATACTTCATTGAAACAAACTCTTTATCAAAACTTAATGTACTTGAGCACTAATGATATATCATGCAATTATCTATCTAATGTTTTTACCTAAATATGAGCTT